AGAGACCATGTTCTGAGTGACATGTCTCATGAAGAAGGCATCGTATTTCCACGCTACCTTCAGAAAGGCGTACTCGTCATTGAAAAATGTATTTGAATATTCTAAAACCTTAAATGAGACCATAGACGATTAGTTTGATGGATGGTAAACTATACAGTCTTCATCCGGATGCGCGCCGGCTCATACGAGCAAATAAATACAGGACTGACTGACTCGGCACGTTCTGTAGGATCGTCGTGCAGCTCACATTTGAATTCGTTGGGTCGACTTGCGTCAAGGTTCCCCGCTAACAGAAACAGCGAAGCCAGCCCTTTAACAGTCGTCGATTACAGTAATATCACTAATAGTAGTTGCACGGGTAGCAGGTATTATTTAAAAAAAAAATTAAGATAGTCCTAAACTAGGGAGTCTGGTACTCGAATGTTTATTATCACAATGCTGAACAACAATGTCAGCATCGAGAACAAAGGTGGGACATTACAAGGCTTCCCGTATTTTGCAAAGATCCAGGAACCATTTCACTTCGAACGAACGAACCTAATCGACGGGAGACTATGGAAGGGACCATAGAAACGACGATGCAGGAAAACGGAAAGAGGCTTTCAGTCGAAAGCGTCATCATGTAGATCTATCTGCGGCGCCAGTGTGTGAGGGGCAACCTTTACTGTCTTTCCTGTTCCCGCTTCGGCTGCTGTTTAATCAATTATCTATGCACCACCACCATCCTCTCGAAAGACGGATGAACTAAAGAAACATGGCAGTACCCAACGTTAACCAGCGGACCATCATTGAGAAACAGCCTGGACGATCTGTGTCACATAAACCAGTCTACGCGGCGGCAACAGCTAAAAAGTACTACTGATGTCTAAATATAAAGAGAAAAAGCTATGAAAATGAGATTTTCTCGGACAATTTTGCTGGCAATACTAAACGCAATAGACTAGAAAATACAGACCTGATCTTGAAGGACTTCCGAAATACTTTATAGGAATGTAAACCAATACAAGGTAATAGCTATTATTAAGATTTTATGTGATTCAGGTCGTCCTAATATAGATGGCTTTAATTTATGCTGTTTAATTGGGCGAAAATTAAATAGCGAAAACAAAATAATTAAAAACAACGATTTCTGTGGCCATCGGTTTGAATGCCAAAAGTGAGCGTTCTTCCTTTCAAACTAATGACAATCGAAACTTAGCTAAGTTTATCCTGGAGAACGTTTTGTGGTTCCCCTGAGAAGCACACTGTTTTTTAAACACTGGCCGACGATCTACCAGTGCACCTCTTTCTAAGCGAACCAATTCACCAGTGAGACGCGTGTTGAATATTTTTCTAATATTTTCTTCCTCCGGTTGGATAGGGGCGCCATCATCAGCGTCATTGTCACCATCAGATCAGTTTCATTAATCTTTGCGGCAGCCGTTTCCTTTTTGCAGAACTCATCGCAGAAATCTCTTCATTTTGTGCTTCATCACCTTACTACGCCTAGTTTTTTTTGGACAACGAATTCTGCTTTAAAGAAGCTGCCCAACTTTCTTATTACTAATATTATATATATAAAGAACCCTGCTTTATTGACGTACATTGCTTCTGGTGACAGTATAGCGATAGCCTTTCTATCGCTATCGAAGATTATCGCAAAAAGAACCGTCTATATTTCAGCCTATATCGTCTTTAGATTTATAGTATGTTGACGATGAAATTTTCATGGACTCGCTTTGTTACAAAATTGTTAGCAAACGTTCGTTCTGAAATCGGTGGAAGCACATCCCGTAAGCCTAGAATCTCATCAGGCTTAATGTACGTGTTGTTTTGTGTATTTAGTCGGTCATTGAAGGTTGTTTATAAACGGAACACCGCCCTACAAGCCCCTAGGGCCCCTGGGGGGGAAAAATAATTATTCGGCTCGCGATTTCATCCAACGGCAAGCGCAGCGAACCCTGTAAAATTCTTATCACCTTCGTTATCACTACAGTCAGATTAGAACCTTCGAACTGCTTTATTGTTGAATTGCTACATTTTTACGAAAAAGGTAATTTACGTCAGTAGCAACAAATAGCATAGGAAAAAGCTAGCCTTTTTCTACAATCACAACACGCTATATGTAGACGCGTACGCGTCTTTTAGAGAATATGGGGACTAAGTGTAATTTTATTAGGGTTGTAATCCGAGTAGTTTTGTTAATTGAAGTTATATTATTATATGGATATCCATTTACATATTACCTAGTGATAGTTTCAGACCTTGAACGGTGTGTGAAATGCAGCCATTTCAAAACAGCGCGCCTAAAACCACTACTCCAGTCACCAAAATCATCATCACTATCATCGTCGTCGTCGTCATGTCTAGAGGCGTGTCTATGACTGCAGTCGCTACAAACGAAAAAAGCAGCAGTGCGAAAAACAGGGACACTAGTACGACTAGCTGAAAGAGCACTAGTAACTCTTTCTGCTTGGCCTTCGCTCTATCTCCACGGCTTCACTTGTACGCTACACACACACACGCCTGTTTTTCTCTGCTTTTCAATCCACATAGAGATACACACGCATTTACCCGTTTTTCTTGTGCTCTCCCTTTTATGTCGAAGGTAGCAGTGGACTAGCCATAACCCGAGTTAGAAATGTCAGCGAACGCGTACGAGATCGACCCAGGGCGGAGCGGGTCACGAATTTTCAATTTAAAAAACAAACATTCCCACCAGCGGTGGCGGCCACTGTGTTTCCATTGCTACAAAAAACACAGGTCGGACAGACCACTACTAGCAGCAGCAGTAGTAGTAGTAAGATAAAAAGAACGCCCGTCTCACCAGCAGCGTTATCATGAGAATTGAAGATGAGAACAACTAATGTGCCTATTATGATATGAACGTCGTGGAAGGAGTATCTTGAGACGGGCACGATTTATACATCCTATTGTTAATATGGTTGTAGCTTTTTTAATATAATTCAGATTTTATGTCTAGTCGCGTATCTACCGAAGAGTTTGTTATGTCGACTACAAAAGTAGGCATCGACTCTTTGCGCATCTTCCTCTTCTTCTTATTGTTATTATTATTATTCTACCCAGATACTATAAAAACATGTAAAACTTCCAAATAATCACTGATGGAAGATTAGCGGCAAATGGCAAAGGCAACACGTTTGACATACTTTACTCCTCACCGTTATCATTAGCAAAGTGTATTTTTCAAAGAATTATTTAGAAATGCATTGGACCTTTTTTTACAATATTTGATGAATCAGATTTATTCGCTACTGAAACTGCTTCACGACGTTGGCTTTCCCTACTGCGCAGTTGCTATATTTACTTCACTACCTAATATTTCGGAATAGAAGCTCCAGCTCAACCGATTTGAAGAACTTTAAGCTGTTATGAAGTCTTTGAGGCTTTCTGGCGGCTACTGCACTGGCTAGTTGAGCAGCCTCGATTCCTATTGAACATTATCGTCCGACAGTTGTTTCTCCTTCAGACTTGCGCTCCTAGAGGGAAAAGCGTGGAGAGGCATGGACTCGCAGCGTGAAAGCTTCTTTTTCTTTCTTCTTGTTTATGAGTTCCATGCAACCCCCTCCAGTTCCGACAACCGACACGTTTTCCTTCTTTCCATTCCCTTTCACCCCGTTCGGCCCTACTCCGCCCCTCAGAGTACGAGAGAGTTGACTGGCCGTTTATGCCCCTATCTACCCTCAGCTTTCCGGTCGGTCACTAGCCCTGGCGGCAAACGTATTGTTGCAAAAAGCAATGTTCCACGCGCGTACTCACAAACATCTTGCCGCCAACCCCCAGCGACCCATCATCTTTGGCTTCACCTCCTTTCCATCCAGAGTTTCGTGGTGCTCCACAAGGTCCCTATCTAGTGTATCTTAGTAGTGTAAACGGAAGCTTGCTACTCTTACATTACTGCTGCGAAATGGCGAAGCCTGCTGGAGAAGCAGCACCAATATAATCGACTGCGCCGGCACTGTCGAATCTTCTAGGACAGTCCATTCAGTGCTTTTTCCAACTCGCCTGCAGGCTCATTCCGTCTAGCCCTCAGTACGTTATACAATTTTCGTCCAGTGCGTTTCAAATCCAGCGACCGCCCTGGCCAGCAAACCCATAATACCACAGGGCGTGTACACGGACGGAGACGCGCGCAGCATCTACAGGACAACTGAAGTAGTCCACGATATCGCTGTGAAGTGAAGAAAGCTGGACATGCACGGCGGCATCAGCAACAGCAGTAAAGGTAACAAACCTTCAGGCAGAATTTCATTCTCGCATGCGTTTCGATTGGTACGCTTTCTAGCAATAGCGATGATAGGATTCTTAGACAGTAGCAATATTCCCTAGTCCTTGTGGCACGGTTCGTAGGAACTGCATATTATAATAGTGCTCCATGATACCCTTTCGCTTCAATCAAGTTCTACTACTTACTATTCGCCGGTTTCATCGCAGTTGCCTTGAAGCAGCGGCCTCCACCAGCGCTGCTATACGGCACTTGAATGACCCAACGCGTTGCTTACCTATCGCTCATTCTTCTACTTTTGGACGCGGTGCGCAGCTTCACCCTATAACAGCATCTATACCCTCCACAAATCGGCTCTTGAAACATTCTGCTTCACCCCGCACCCCACCCATCCCCCCAAGAGGCTTGCTTTCCTCCTCCTCTTCGTAGCGCTCCTAGTATTCCTTAATTCCGTTCTGTTTGAGAAATAGAAGTATCTCGTTGCTATATTTCCTATTGGCCGCCCTACAGATGGGACAGATTCGTTCGCATTTCGTTCCCTAATCGATTAAAACGTTCTTGTCCGATGGTTTTTTCGTTTTTTTTTTTACTGTCTTTTAAGATCGATATAATATAGAAGACAAAAAGAAATAGCATTATCAAAAGCGGTTGAAAAAACGCCCGGGATTGCTTTCTTCACATCATCTAGCTTAAGACAAATCCACGAGATTAAACTAGATGGTCTTCCCTGTCGTAACCAGACCACCATCTATTTTTAGCATTCTATAGCACTTACTATGCTCTTGTTGAAGGCCGTAGAGTTTCAGTTTGTTAGCTTCGTGCTGTGCTTTCTTCTTGAGTCGGCATGCTCTGAAAATGCAAAACAAATAGTTACACATGTCTTCCTTAATTTAATTTATGATAAGTATTATGTGAATGCTTCCATTAAATCAAAGCTCAGCCATATTTTCCCTCTATTTGCAACGGATCGACTATTTTCTTTTCAGGTAGTAGAGTGCCGAAAGACAACCTTGAGCGCACACGACAACGTTCCATTAAGTTTTATAGTAAATGGTTTCATTAATTTTGACGTGTGTGATTTCCATGAAGGGCAAACAGGTTAGACAACAGGTATGTAGCTATTATCACGTAGCTCTTCAAACATGATACATTCTATCGGATTGCAATACGTATCAGGCGTAAGTTAAAACTGTACAGATTAACGATAGCTTACTATCGTATTGTTCCTTTTTTCTTTCAGAGTGACGTTATTTCAGCGAGTTCTATTTTATAGTAGACACTTAAATCGGAGCGTTATGCTTATCGCATAAACTGCTATGGACTTAACAGAAATAAATATAAGCCATATATAGATAGATCGGGGTACAGCGTAAAACGTGTAACTCTTCCCTGTGGCGAAGGATAGGCACAGAGTGAATTGTCTGCTAGCTAACCGAGACTGTTTTTTTTAAGCGCAGGACATCGGCTCGCCCGCAAGCAGACGAGCTGACCCCGTCTGGCCACAAAAACAGCCAATCCAGCACTTGTCCCGTCCGTGCTACTTCCCCGTGTCCCCGTGAGAGTTTTTAGTAAGTCGAGCAGCGACTCCTAAAAATCCGACCAGACGAAGACCCCGCGATCAGCTCTCGGCTACCGGGCCATTTATCCTAGGTCAAGGCGAACGAGAAGGTCATCACACCTCATCGTTTCAATGCACCTTATAGGAGAGCAGTTTCCTCGTAAGAGCTTTATTTATTTTCTTCTTGTCTGAGTTGATATTATCCTGTACAATGTCGCGCTTTATCATTTCTAAATCACCTCCAGATCTGAATGGCAAGATGCCTGCTGAAATCCCTTTAAGCGGTCACATATTCATATGAAATGCGACCTGTGGCAAGAAGCTTGCGAGCGTTGCTGTTCAGAGTCACTATACCGGTCGGATTCTATCGATGGTGACCAGAACAGTCTCGCACGGTAGAGCTGTAGAGGATTTGTCGATTTGAGCACTACCATATGACGCAATACCCAGTGAAGACACAAATCTACCTATATTAATTCTAGTAATTGTAATGTTACCTGGAAGCAAGTTTGTTCTTCTCCTTGCGGGATTTGTTACGCGCGTTGAACGGAACATCAGTTGGCGGTGTTAATTCATTAATAACCCTATTGAGCTTCTTGAGTTCTACCCCGATGTTGTACAACTTATTGGCATTTGGCGTCAGGTCATTGCCATCGCCTCGGCGTGCTTTACCTGCGTGTTTTACACCTATGAGTGAATGACACGGAGAGCAACAACAACTACGTGTTAAATAAAACAAGGTAGAAAATAATTTTCGGTATGAGTACACGTGTATATTACCATTAGCTAGAGCAAACCTATGCTTGGACTTGTGCTATCATATACTGTAGAATATATATTTACCCACCCCTCGTAGCAAGCCAGATCTGGGATGGCGAGGGCATCAACCAATCTTCTCATTCGATGTTCAATTTTACAAAAAATAATTGGCTACGTTAAAGTAGCTTACCCTCTGACAGTCGTATAACACCTAAATCATGCTCATGTATTAACTATGGCGCGCGAGAAAACTGCATTAGCTTGCCTTCGAGCTGGCAATCGGGGCTGAACACAGGATCGGTTACGTCCGCAAGAACGTGTGGGTCGGCCGGAACATTGGTGACTTTCATCCGGGGTCCTTTGGGCCCTTTAGCTTGAACGTTATACTGCCAGAAGTACTTCCCTTTTTTTTTGCTAGACCCAGCAAAAATGCTGGGCTCATCGGAGTTCAGAGACGCTGGTGACAGCGGCGAACGCACGCCATCCTGTTCAGCGTCACTTCCACCAGAGTCTGCAGCAGCGGCAGCAACGTCAATACAAACATGTAAGTCATTAATGTTACAGACTGTTTAACTATTGGCATATACTCTCAACATCAACTTTTCTCTATACCACATACTGGAAGTAGGCTCTTTCGGGAGTTTACCTCAACTGTTTCAGGCGCATGAACAGATAATGCTCGCATATAAGCTTTCAGCTTGTCAAAACGCTATCCTTTATTAAGCTAGGTCAATATTTCAACGTTCTTCAGCCTGAAGGCTCAGGTTGCGCGTAAAACATTTCTTATCTGATTTTATGCTCTCTTTTGAATACAGCATCATCATGTGACCAGCACCCTTTACATCGCACGTATTAATAGAGTACTGACCGTCTCCCGATGAATGATCGTCATTGTCGGAGTCATCTTCTTCGTCCGCCTGAGAGCTGAAGCCCTCGTCCATCGTAAGTTGAACAGAACTTAGTTGCGAAAGAGTGGTGTCAGTCGAGCCGTGGCGAAGACGACCCGTGCGCTGTACCTAAATAATCACAGATAAACGTCATAGCATGATACTATGATGCTATATATACGTTTACAAGACCTCCTCTAAGCGAAACCCAAAAGCACTCCAAAAAGTACGTTGTATTCTAACCAGATCCATCGGATTGATGGATTTTCAAGTACTCACTGACTGATATAAGGCATTCGCTTTAGTTAAACATTAAACAATTATGAAAAGGTGAATATAAATGCTATGCGCTACAACAACGCTTCTCGGCTTCACGGAGCTGCAATAAACGTTTTGAGGAAAACCAGTTCAGTGTGAAGGCACAACGCTGAAAGCATTTTAAAACTTACTTCACTTGCAGGTTATAATTCAGACTTCTTTCACATACCTTTGGCCTAGTTAATACGAAAATTACGTGGCAAGACAGCAAAACCGTACCTCAGCTTTCCGCGCTTTCCACATCTGCTCTACCACGGCATTCGTCGACGGCGCAGACGTACTTAGACGATCCGCCAGCAAAGAGCCCTTTGGCTTGCCCCCGCCGGGACCAGCCAGACCGAGCGGACTTTTTCTAGCTGGCGAATGGGAGGGACTAACACGGCTGGGATGAAGGAAACTACGGGACGCTGCCTTGCCCCCGCCTAATGAAACAAAATAATAGGCAACTCACTAGTTAGCTGCCGTTACATAGACACACGGGGCCCCATATGAGGTCGATAAAAGATTATACAAATACTCGCCTTTAACGTAGAGCAATGATAATATTAGTGTTATAAATGACATACAAGTAATAATACTAATATTCATCACGACGAAATGAAAACTTTTTGCAGTACCAGATAGCTTGAATTTGGATATTTAATTGAACTGCAATTGAGAAAGCCAAAGGCTGGCTGTTACCTCTAGACGATCCTTCAAAACTTTACGCCTAATTATATTTGAAGCTAAAAATATAGTAAAGCCTTTGTAATCACTTACCTAATAAGAGGACTTACATGACTCATGTAATTGTCTCCGAACATTTCATTAAAAATATGACCCTTTGCTTAAGAACAGCAAAACATGTTTTTTTAGAAATTAGAGATAAGGGACTATTTAGAATCTAAATTAACCCATTTCGCGACACCATTTGAGGGTGATGTTATTAACAAGACTTAGAGTAACTAAAGGCCACTTCAGTGCAGGAATGATACGAAATCGCCGAAAAACCGACTTATACAACTTCAACCATCTCTAAGCACTTTTCAGATATAGGTAAATTCAACAATTTAAAACTGATTCCAGTCGCAGGGTCAGTGACATTTCATTCCTTCAAAAAAAAAGTCATCACTTTTGAGAAAAGTTGTTTTCTTTACAAAATATTCTCATACCTTGTCTAATATCAACTGTGGTCCATTGCCTTGCTTCATTAGTACATGCAGTGATTAGCGGGCCAATGTATTTCCACAGATATCGTCATAATGAATAATATCGTACCGAGATGTTGTTTGCCGGGAATTCCACTGCTCGTCGAGGGAAAACTTGAACTGAGTGGAAGAGCGTAGACTGATGGCGGCAACGGGTTAAGGAATCCGGGCAACGTGCCACTTGATGAGGCGCCAGGACCAGCCTGAACTCCACCTTGATCCTTTGATAATGGTGCGGCCATTTGGCTACTGGAGGGCGGTGACAATGTGTGTAGTCCAGAAGAAGAAGAAGTCCCGGCCATCAAGTCTGCGAACAAAGGACCACCACCGCTGTCAGCCCGCGATGCTGATGACCCTGGTGATAATGTAAAATCGCCGAAAAATTAATTTCGCATTTTTTAGTTGCACTTCTGTTTATAAAGTCATTGATTAAGCCTTCAGTACTATCTCGAACTAGGTAAAGACTGGGTTCTAGAATAGCCATTGGCGCACCCTTACCGAGTACTGTGGTCGGCTCCATCTTGATATCCTGAACTGTTGAAAGCTGGGAACTTGTCAGGTGTTGCCCAAACATGTCCAAGTTTTTTCCGCCATTTCCAGAAGTCATCGAGATGGGGGACGAATTAGAGAGATTACTACTTGTAGTTACCGTCATAGGCTTGTCGTGATCATGGCTGTCCATAAAAAAACTGGATACATCAAAACCTTCAAGAATCTGATCCTCATCCTCGTTAGCGTTTAACTCGGCAAGCGTCGGCTCTGCCAGCGATTCTGACTTGATATCCGTTTTGAACACTGAATTCACGTCAAATTCCATTGGCAGTTGTTGCGATACACCAGGTACACTGCAGCAGCACATGGACAAAGAATCTTACTTTCATTGTGGATTGCCGCTAAAACCGTGCAGCAAAGGCAATTATAATTACAAATTATTATAAATAGTTAAAGTTATGACAAGGTAATTGATCGAACTTCAAACATTACCTAGACCAGAGTTTGTCGGGCTCTTCACCGATCTTGCTGAGTCCCCCAAGGGAGGCCTCTCCTCGATGCCCTTCGACTTCGTCTGGTTCAAGTTCCCACATGAGGCCCTGACTGTCTGACGGATCAGACGACCTCTTGGAATCTTCTAGCGAGCAGGGTATGGGAATACCAGGGAGATATTCCAGGATGTCCGTAGAAGAAAAACTTCCGGTGAGATCAGGTCCCAGCGTCGAGTACAACGAATCCTCAGAAATGAGTCTGACGTTAAACAATTATTGGGAAAGCGCAGCAATTTTAGTAGTTGATGCAATCTTGTGATGAACGACTACATCTATTCAGAACTCAATTTAACAAATCAAGGTAGAACTGGTTTATCTATCGGATTTTCAATGATCGCGGCGCGTACGGCTAGCGATTATTTAAAAGCCATAACTCTTAATGGGGACACTCGCTTTGCACACTGGTCGCTGCCACCCGAGCACAGATCCCGCGCCTTATGTTTGGGTGGCATTTTTCTACAAGACAGCCGGAAAGCCTCCACCAGGGAAATGATCGGTCCCTGGATGAACCGATTCTTATCTCGTACAACCGGGAAAAACGCTTAATATAGGACGCCACGGCGAACGACACCCTAACCACGTCAGATGTCAATCGCTGTGCTAACAACCCCAGAATAAGCGGTATCGAGAGTAGAGTAAGCCAAGCTAAAGAAATAAAAAGATGTCCAGACCGCTCGCTCGTTTACTCATCTTACTTGCTTCTTAAACCTCAGACAGCTTAGCCGCCGGGCAAAATGGAGTTAGCAAGTGAAATATAGGAGGCTTTTATTGTGAAACACATTAAGACTAAACGATTGTCACGTTGAAATTAATTCGAAGAATTGACATAAATCAAAAATGGCAGATGTCGTCTGCTGCGTATTTAACTTACCGAGATTCCATCATATGCACGTTAAATGAGGAGAAATCTTGGCCATTTAATCCCTGGATATATTAGCTTCGTCGTACGCAATCAAATTAAATTGACATTTCTACATATTCGTAGATACTAATATGTGTATCCAAGCGTTATAGTTTCTCTGTATTTGTGCGTCATTATCCTAACGAAGCGAAGGATTGCGTAAGAAATGGGTGCAAAAGCAGGCCGGTGTATAGGCCGGTGTATAGCCTAAATGCCTTAGACCACCAGCTTCGACCCTCATTACACTGTAACGTATCAGTCACGCGTAGACAGCTTTATTCGAACTCTCAATAAAAGGTATGCAATTTCTTTGAAAAAATATTTCTAAGCAAAGACGTACATAAAAAGGCTTGGGGAACGATGATCTTTTCGTCAATCAATTCAAGGCTTGATACGGGGTCATCTATAGCTAAATTGATGCCGCTGATTATAGGGAGAACTTGAATAAACATCCCAGCAATCCGTTCAAGAGAGCAGCTGATGCCAGGAATATCTATCTCACTGTATTATTCGGATATTATAATTCTTATTATTATTACTAAGCAGCACTTTTTTCATCCAATCACAGCTATCGTGTGGTAAATGAGGTAGTGAGTAATTTGTTCTTCGCGATGATTTCTTACCTATTTTCAATTGTGAGATTGTGATTATTTTGTGTGGTGATTATCTGAGAATTTAGGGTAAATGAATGATCTCGCGGTGACGTGACATTGACACTCCAACCGCCAAGTACACCAACTGTGCTTGATCCCTCTTGAAGGTCTGATGAAGAAAGTGTACATTGGTTTCCGACGGACGAAGGATCCAAGCCAGTAGCGCTTGTGAGCGCACTACCGGATTCCGGAGATCCGACGTAGCTCGACGTTTCCAACTGAATGTTCTGGAGAAATAATCGCAAAGTACTCACACATAGTACACGAAAAATGCCCCTTAAGATAACACTTGTAATATAAGTGGGCACGCGCTTGTCTATTTAAATGTTCCCTGTGTGTTTGTTCAACTTGGATCTAACACTATATGGACATCATATGAGAACATAAGTATCACACTTTCTTATAAAATGTTTTTACATTTACTAATACCTTGTTTAATCCACCATCTCTATAGTAAGCTCGTTACTTTTATTACTAGCCTTCCTTCCTTCCTGATATAGCCTATATATACTCTGTGCGTATCACATCCTTACAAGTTGGACTTTTGTTGATTCTTCATCATACGATATTTCCCATTTATGATTAAACTGAGCATGTTGACATGTACGTCTTCCGCTAAACGTTGAGGGCCTTGATTCAAAAGCTGCCTTTGAACTCTAGGTAAACAATTAATGATAATTAACCCTTGTTTTTTTTCGTATTACCTATGGCATTATCATCACAGGTGTCCTCACCTGTGACAGCGCCATTGCGGCGGAAGTTGTTGTCATTAGGGGCGCTGTAGAACTACTGTTTTGTTGCTGTTGTGTTGAAGGTCCATTGCCCGGGGCATTATCCGCGTGGCTTGGGTGCACCATTTGCGCCGCTGGTGCGACCAGCTGGTAGAAACTGCTACCACCTGTTGCCCTTCCACCTTCGTAAAAAATTCTCCCGCCTACCAAGTCTTCCTCCCGATGATGGTCTACCCGCTGCTGCGAATGATGATGGTGTCCACGTTGATTCTGGAGGCTGTTTGACTGAAGACAATGCTGCTGACGAACGTAATGATGGATAGAAGCGTTGGGCAGTACACTATGGGCCTGATGGAATCCGCCACTGGCACGATCTGCCAAAGGGTGGCCAGCAGTAGCAGTGCTATTATTACCGCTGGCCAGCTGCTGCTGCTGCTGCTGCTGCTGCTGCAGGTTATGGCATTGGTGGACAATCCGATCGAATTCGTGATGCTGCAGTTGCTGTTGTTGTTGTAGATGATGCGGCGTCCCTCCTTCTCCTCCTCCGTGTTGGCTGTGATAAATTTGCCGTTGCTGCTGCTGAGGTGTTGACCAATGGCGATGGCCACTCGCTGTTAACAATGAAAATGGTAACAAAGATGTGGATTTGTTGCTGAAGGTGTGGTGCGAAGTCGGGTTTGTTATTGAATTTGTTGAGGACGTCGAGTTGTCTAATGCTGTGAGACCGAAACCGCGCAGAGGGTTCGAAGATGAGGTGACGGTTGAGAGAATTAGGCCACTGCTTGACCCAATATTGCTAAGGACGCCTAAGCCGGCGGAGTTAGTTGAATTTGGTTTTGAACTATCCCCGTTTCCTCCCAGCAGCCTGTAAATGGATTAAGAAAATCAATTTAGATCGATATTTTCCAGCTCTCATAGAGAACAGATTTTCGATCATACAGAGATAACTGAATAAATCTAGACATTAGGAAACCAGATTTTTTAATATATATATATATATATTTGTTTTTTTTTATAATTAAACAGCCCTCTTTATTCAGACATTTTTCTTTATTTTAGTTAATTTTTAAACGATGTTTCGTGCAGCTTTCTCTAATAATTAATTATTTGCGAAAAACGAAAATGTAAATACATGTTAATATTGTTATCTAAAATAATGCCCATTTTATCGCGTTTGTTACGGCTATGACCTCAGCGAAACAACACGAGAAAGCAGTGCCATCTTACATACGCCGGTATTGCCGATACTAAACACTGTAGTAACGGAATTTAAAACGGAAGCGCGAAAACAGCAATAGCCGCTCGTAAAACAAGTACTTCAAGGAACACCTTATATTTACTCTAGTCCAGAACAGGTCCGATAATCTTATCGCTGCTTAAGGGAGTCGCTGTTTGGGTTCCACTAGATTATTCGTTCGGGCCTCGAATGTAGGGCCTCAAAAACTATGAACCGCAAGTATAGCTTTTTAACCAATAAAATGCAATGAAACGTATCACTTGATGCTCTCAAAGACATTAGACGTTGTAGATCTTAAACTACCAGGCTGTAATAGTCGATCTCGAAATGGGTCATATCTTGAAATCACTATAAGGATAGTTGGACAGAAGCGTAGACTATACGTATCGACTGATACCTTGGTCAGAGTTGTTGAAATCGAACGCTCTGATGAAATCATTGACTCGAAAGATTGGCAAACGCAGGCGACAAAAACTCCTCCCAAGGTTGAAAAATACGTTCTTTATTTGATTACCATGCCATACCAACAAGGTTCGAAAAGTGTGCAATCGCGGTTACGTTGCTGATAAAAAAAACGGCTCGACGAAGCAGAGAATTATGACATGGTAGCCTAATAAATACAACTCTTTCCACATAAATAAATGCTTAAAAGAAAGGATTTAGTTTTTTTTGCTAGCTTTGCTCACTCTACGAGTCAACAACTTCCTTCACCTTCATCAACACCTTCAGATTGTTTGGTTCAATAAAAAGTTAATTTCACGGTCTGGCACCTTTTTTCCAGCTAAGAAACAAATAGGTCATAATTTAGGCTAGGCATTGGAAAGGCATCGACATCGATTGCTGGAACCTTTTTTGGGATCTTTTTGCAGGCTACAAAAAGTGCTACAAATACTATCGTTAAGCTACATTGCATATACGTATACGATCATGTGGGCCGATCGTCAGTCACTATTCTTGCTTGCTTTTCGGGCCTCCACGGATTTCTCACCCGATGTTTATTAACCCCAGGGCAGTGTTTTAGCTGGCGTCGTCGTAAACTAGCACGAAAGCAGCCGGATTTCCTTTTTTTCCTTTAATCATCTCTTTAAAATATCTCTTTGGCTGCATCATCGTCGTCTAGCCAGCTAGTACAGCTTACACCGAAAGACGGAGCTAGGAACGCTAACTCCTAGTGCATCCTTCTTCTAATACCCACCCACTAGCCCTTCCCCATTCTCATTCTCAATCTGCCTCAAGGAGGTGTTTCGTTTCGAGCGCATAAAATGCCCCTCTTACTCTGCGGAGACCCCTACACCCCGTCTCCTCAAAAAAGGCTGCCAAGCCGAGGACACTTTCCTAGCAATGGGTTAAGGCTAAACGACAAAGGCAGTCTTCCTTCCCACATCCCAGAGTCGACAGGCATTGACCACTCGGCCCGATTTTGCTACTCCATACCTTCGTGCCCTGTCTCTATCTTTCTCCATCTCTTCCATTTCATCCCCTATAGTGCCGCGTCCCTGTATGTGTGTGTATGTGTAGTAAAAGCGGGCTTCTAAACTCATCTTATAGCCATCAGCATTTCCATATCCGCTATGTGCAGGAAAGAGTAGCAGCAGCAGCGGTGGCAACCATCGCTGATAGCTGGCTAGAGAGTCCAACAGCGAAACAGCGCTTTCCCTCTGTATCTGCCCACCCTTCGGTCTCCAGTGGCCTCCGGTTTGAATCGGCCAAGATGACGACGACGACGATGCAATGTCCACCGCTGCTTCACTCTGCCGTTACCCCCCTCTTGGCGCTAGCCTCGTTAATCTTGTGCAGTGTCCACCAGCATTGCCTTCTTTAAGCTTTAACTGCTCTAAGCCCACAACTCTTCCTTGACTCTCGTTTGCCTGCCCTCTCCCCTTTAGAAGCAGCCTTTGGTTATCCATCGTTGCTTACTGGCCACGTAGTCATTGCGCATGTGTCACGTCACATGGACAGCGACGTCAGAATCATGCCTTCCGAAGAAAACACAAAAGATCTCAGTCTTTGAACAGGCCGACCGTTATATTAGTTTCTTCGTCTTCTTCACGAGCCTATACATCAACTTAAGGCTGTTTCTATTATTTTTGTGTGATTCACAGTTTTTCTTCCATGATTTGTTATCGCAATAATTTCTATGTATCACAGCTACTGCTTGTATCGCTCATGGACGGTAGCTCTGTATTCTTTTCTCTTCTGCAACGTTCTGTCACGTGATTTGTCCCAAGATGTGAATGTCATTCTCTTTATAGAGGTTCCATACATGAATTGGCTCTATTCCTCATTTTGCAGTGCATTTCTGTCCGCGTTCGCATCGTCATCTTTCCGATAGAACAAAGTGAGTGTTCTCCCTTTCGCTTTTATCGAGCCTCGGTGTTGCCATTGTTTTTGTACCCCCTCGCCCGTTACCTCTCCACCCAGAGTCTCTTGCCCAAACTATCAACCCCCGGAGCGGTCTTTTCCAGCATTCCTTTTTTCCCTACCCGAAACGCCCTAATCACCCACTCACGCGCCCCCGTCGTTGCCCTGCTGCTGTGAGCGACCATCGAAGCCATCCGCCATCTACTATCGTTCCCCTAGTATCTTTCCTGCTGGCTTCTCTTGTTCGTTGCGTTCAGGATGCAAGAGTCCTGAAGCCGAATCTCGAGGATTGCACAATGCCGCAGCAGTCGAGCGGGACTGGCTTACGGGGTACACATATATACCGAATACTAAGACTATATGTGAGCATGGTCCTTGGCCCGAACTAACTGACTGCTCGTGCTATCAGAGATGACTGCCCTCAGGGGGTTGAGCAGCAAAGGCAGGCGGCGCAACCAGTCACCTTCTAGCGTCAAATGCTGCTGCCCAGCCTAAAGCGCTGCTGCCTCGACCAGCCGAGCGACCCGTTTTTCTCTCGTTCTTTCTCTCGACCGACCGACCGACCGACCGACCGAAGTGGCAAGACCGGGGGGACGAGGGTACGAATGAGCAAAAGCTGGGATAAGCGCAGCATTGCGATTCAAAGTCTGCAAGCTGTTCCTGAGAGACACATGCAAACAGACGAAAGAACGATAGTGAAAGACGGCAGTCGAGGGAGTTCGGGTGGCGCAGCTACTGCCCTCCTTCCAGTAGGAAAACCGGGCCGGGAAGAGGGGTTGCAATGAGCCCCGCGAAGGAAGGCAAGAAGAGCTTGGAAGCACCACGTGAGAAGAAGTCTTAATTCCCAACAACGAAACAGCGGCGGTCGTCTAGCCTCGTTCTTGCTTGCAAAATGCAGCAGAAGCAATGCTTTCTCCCAAACTACGGATCATGCTATGCGCACTGTTCTAGCATACCGAAGGAAAAATTCACTTGTCTCTGGCTGTCAGGGTTAACCTCACGGTTCTCCACCGGCAGTCCACACATCTTCACTACAGTCAGACGATCAACCAAGTGAGCTCTACGCATCTCTAAACACGGTAGCAAAATTACGGGTTTTGGCTATTATGAAAACAAATAGATATATTAAATGCCTAACCGTACTGACAAGAACATTTTTTCTAGGCCTAGTCTCTAGCCACCTTTCAGTAGTGTATCATTCTCCACCCGCGCTTCAGATTATAGTCATTGACTTAACATACGGAACCACATGGAGAGCTCACACATTGTCGAGTTTGACTGAGCCCGACCCAAATATTTGCGCGAGATTTTTCTATGTAGAAGCTGGCTCGTTCTGCTTCCAGTCGACAGCATATACAATAGAGAAGCTGCAGTGAAAGGGAAGCACTTATTAGGACTAGTATTCGATCCCCCTACCCCCACCCTCTGATTGCGGCCACTGCTGGAACCAACGCCGTCACGTCCGGATCCTGGGCCCACATTTAGAGCACTGTATTCTTGAACTATGAGATCATCATAATCTGTTGTCCGGCTCTCCGATATAGTGCCACACGTTTTTAAGAAAATTTCACCCGGGTGAATTTCCATACCATGCCAGAACTTCAACATCATTAGCGGTAAACAGCTCACAGACATATGACATAATAATTTGTCATGTATGAACAAATAATTTCCCTTTGACAACTATTACATCGTACCTGAGACTGTTTTTTGGTCCGAATTACCTCACTCTATTGTTGTTTTTCTATACTCTCGTTGCCGAAATCTGGGGCTTCTGTCATCATCATCACAGTCCACATTATTATTTTGCTTGTATGTTTTTTTGCTAAATCATATAGGACTCGTAAGATAATTCGCCGGGTCGCCTGAACGTTGCTACCTAAAGTCTCAAGATGCGATTTATTGGAAAACAGACCCTTCATCGCTTTTCAACTGGCTAACTTTAGAACTGTTCAGCCTGCTTAAAACGCGGACAAAATCGTGGAAAATTAAGCGGAGGTTTTTTCTGGTTCACCACAGCTAAAACCATCCATTTCGACACGGGGTCGAGAAGTTCTTATGGGAACAGTTACTCCGCGCTTCTGCGCCCTCTAACGCAGTTAAAGGCCGTTACAAATCAGTACACAAAAAAAAGTGTGGAACGATCCTCTCCCCTTGCTGTGTTGTGTACCAGTGCCTGGATTTCTGTTTTTCATGGCCTTCACCTTCTGGATGCCATTATCAACTGTACATTCTGATACTTTGACCTGCTTAGCAATTCCTCTTCG